AGAGAACCTATGAATTGCTTCAGATCAAAGAAAGTTAAAGTATAGCAGATTTCATCATTAGAGTTACAAAGTTGGTAAATCAAATCAAGGTATGTGGAGAAGTGTTGACATCAAGATCAGTTGTTGCAAAGATCTTGAGGTCGCTGGCTCCAAAGTTCGACCATGTGGTATTATCCATAGAAGAGTCGAAAGACTTGTCAACATTGACGAAAGAAGAGCTTTGAGGGACACTTGAGTCTCATGAACAAAGGATGGCTGAGAGAGCTGCAGGAAAATTGAAGAGTGATATGGCTTTACAAGCACAGTCAGAAAAGGAAAGGAAATGCAAAAGAAGCTGGAATGGCAACAAAGGTAGAGGAGGCTATAACAATTCAATTGGTCGGAATCAGGAGGAAGGAAACTAGTCTAATTAAAGAAAACCCTGGAACCAAGGCAACCAAAGAGGTGGTGTTGCAGGTAGAGGAAGAGGTGGTGGGCGAAAGCCTGAAAAAAAGTCATATTCAGTGTTTCAATTGTCAGAAGTATGATCAGTATTTTAGTGAATGTCAATTATATAAGAAGAATCAAGAAACTGATGCAAAGATGGCGAATCATGAAGAAGAAGAAACATTGCTAATGGTCACAACACGAGACGAAGAGAGATTCCAGGACCAGTAGTACTTGGACTCAGGATGCTCATCACACATGACTGTAAGGAAAGATTGGTTTATCAACATTAAGCCCTCGTTGAAGAGCGTGGTGAAACTTACAAATGACAATACTCTACCAGCTTAAGGTATTGGCGATGTTTTGATTATGAGGAAAGATGGAAAGAGGTCAACAATTTCCAATGTGTTGCACATATCATCCATAAAGAGTAATTTGCTCAGTATAGGACAACTAGTCTAAAAGAACTACAAGGTGTCAATTAAAGACAAGATGATGAGAGTTCTCGATGCAGGTGGTAGGTTGATCTTGAAGGCTCCAATATCTCAGAATAGGACCTTCAAGACTGAACTCAATGTGATGGAACACAAGTGCCTAGCAACTGCAGCCAGCAGAGATGAATGGTTATGGCATTTTTGACTAAGCAATCTCAATTTCAATGACATTACAAAGCTAAAGAGGAGAAATATGGCTTCAGGATTACCTGAAATCGACATTCCAAGTGAAGTTTGTGAATAATGTGTTTAGTCGAAACAACACAAGAATAGCTTCAGCAAGGATGCAGGAAGGAAGTCGAAGGCAATTCTGGAAGTCATATACTCTGATGTATGTGGTCCAATCCAGGTGGATTTGATTGCAGGCAACAAATACTTTGTCACGCTCATAGATGATTATAATTTAAAGTTATGGAATTACCTCATCAAGAAGAAAAGTGATGTGATCGAGGTATTTTCCAGATTCAATTCTATGGTCGGAAGACAGAGTGGTCAAAAACTGAAAATTCTAAGGACTGATAGTGGTGGAGAGTATGTGTCAAAAGAGTCTGATGCATTATGTGAAATAGAAGGGGTTATGCATGAGGTGATGCCACCCTACACTCCACAGCAAAATGGAATTGCAGAAAGAAAGAACAGAACCATTATGAATATGGTGAGAAGTATGTTGAATGGAAAGCATCTACCCACAAAATTATAGGGAGAAACGGTTTCAACAGCAACATACATATTAAACAGATGTCCGACACAGAAGCTTGAAGGAATCACACTAGAAGAATGTTGGTCTGGTGTTAAGCCTAGCCTCAGTCACTTGAAGGTGTTTGGATCTATAGCACATAGACATGTGCCAGATCATTTGAGAAGGAAGCTTGATGACAAGTCGAATCAGATGATCTTGATAAGATATCATTCAATTGGAGGTTACAAGTTGTTCGACCCAATGAATAAGCAGGTAGTGATCAGCAGGGACGTGATCATAGATGAGGTTAAAGATTGGGATTGGACTGAGAATGTCAAGAAGGATTTAGTGAGAATCTCTTGTGAAGTACCAACCACGGAAGTTGAAAGTGAAGTTCGACAGGAACAAGTCAGAGATGAAGCTGGCCCAAGCAGATCTCGACGAATAAGACACATGCCTGCAAGGTTGCAAGAATGTGTGATTACATCAGATGACGTGGTCGATGAAGAAGGTGAGCTGATACACTATGCTTTCTACGCAGATGCCGAACCAGTTAATGCAACTGGGACATTGAATGATTCGAAGTGGGTGAAAGCAATAAAGGAGGAGTTAGACTCCTTCAAAGTCAACAACACCTGGTCACTTGTCAATTTGCCTCAAGGCAAGAAGGCAATTGATGTGACGTGGGTTTACAAGGTGAAGGTGAATCCTAAAGGAGAAGTAACTCGACACAAGGAGAGACTTGTGGTGAAAGGATTTCTTCAGAAGGAAGGAATCGACTTCGACGAAGTTTTTGCAACTGTTGCTAGGATTGAAACAATCAGATTGGTTGTTGGTCTAGCAAATATGAACAATTGACACACATGTTAGATGGACGTGAAATGTGCATTCCTGAATGGTCCCTTAGGCGAAGAAGTTTATGATGCACAACCAGCTAGGTTTGTGAAACGAGGTGAAGAAAAAAGGTGTACAGGTTGCATAAAGCCCTGTATGGACTTAAGAAAGCTCCAAGAGCTTGGAATAAGAAAATCGACAACATCTTAAGGGAGAAGGAACTTGTGAAGTGTATGACCGAGCATGGAGTGTACGTAAGAAGAAGCAGTAGTGAACTACTTATATTATGCCTCTATGTTGATAACCTGTTGATAACAGGAGGTTGCAAGAAGGAGATCAAAGACTTCAAACATAACTTGAGTGGGGAGTTTGAAATGTCAAACTTGAGAAATCTCTCATAATTCCTTGGCATCGAACTCTACAAGATTAATAGAGGTTTAATGATGCACCAAAGAAGATATGCAGGTAAAATACTCAAGAGATTTGAGATGCAACATTGCAACCCAACTTTGACTCCAGCTGAGACCAGATTGCAACTATAGAAGGATTCAGACGAAGATGATGTCGACCCAACCTAATATAGAAGACTTATTGGGTCACTTCAATACCTTTGTCACACTAGGCCTGACTTAGCATACAATGTGAGTATGGTAAGTAGATTCATACAGAAGCCAAAAGTATCAGACCTAGCAGCGACGAAGAGGATACTGAGGTATCTGAAAAGGACTCTCGACTACGACATTTTGTTTCCTGCAGCTGATGAAGTAAAAGAATTCAAGTTAGTGGGATACACCGACTCTAGTTGGTGTAGTGATGCTGAGGATAGAAAATCCACAACTGGCTATGTGTTTATGCTAGGTGGTGCACCGGTTGCTTGGAGTTCGAGAAAAGAGCCAGTAGTGGCATTGTCATCATGTGAAGCAGAATATATAGTTGTTTCTCTTTGTGCATGTCAAGAAACCTGGATGGTGAACCTGGTCGAAGAGATCACAGCGAAGAGTCATGGAGAAATTACCATGAAGATCGACAACATGTCAGCTATCAACTTGGCGAAGAATCCAATAGCACACGGTCGAAGAAAGTACATCGAAATGAGGTTCCATTATCTTCGAGAACAGGTAGCAGAAGAGAAGATGAACTTGGAACACTGCATAACTGAGAATCAGATTGCAGACATCATGACGAAGGGAGTTCCAGTCGAAATGTTCAAGAAGTTAAGGTCTATGATGAATGTGGATAGTTTAGACACAATGAATTATGTGGTGTGTTAAATATGTAATTCATTGTTTTAGAAATATTAGATTTGATTTAGAAAGATCAGATTTGATTTAGAAAGATTAGATTAGATATTTTTAGGCTTTTATAGTTTGTGCTTTGCCTTGGGGTGCAAGCTAACCTAAATCTATAAATAGGGAGAAACCCTTATTTTGTAAACATCTCATCTCATCTTATCTCATCATATTTTATAATTCACAGTTTGCAGCTGCAAGTGAAATAACAGAATTTCCACAGTTTGTGGGCAGAGAGTTCTCTGCAGAAAATTGTTCATCTTATTCTTCTCCAACGTTTACTTTCTTTCTTTCTAAACTTTTCTTTCATTGTCATTACGTGAGTTGAAACAATCTTGAGATCAAGATTGATTGAGTGAAATTCTCCATAGGTTGTGGTTGAATTTTCAACAATTGCAAGTTTGTTCGCTTTATACAAGTGATTTAATAATCTTTATACGAGTGATTTGTGATTTTTTGAATGAGTTTGTTCTTTTGATTGTTAAAGTAGATGAAAATAATTTTTTATTAAAAATCATGTAAAATATAATAAAAAAATATTTACTAACAAAAAAACTATAAAAAAAAGTTTAAATGGTTTTTTATTAAAAAAAATCAAAAACAAGTATAATGGTTCCGTTGAAAAAAATTTGTCTTCTAATGGTTTGTTACAATTCGAAATTCTGAATTGTTATACCAAATAAATAATTTTGGTTCAATTTAGTTTTGCACAAATTAAAACAGTTTGGTTCGGTTCAGATGACCTTTTATTATGGTTCAGTTCAGTTTAATTCAATTTTATTGTGGTTCAGATTAATTCACTTTAGTTGTCAAGAGTACGGTTGTTTCACAATTGTATTGCTGACATTATACTAAGTGAAATGATTCCTTTACTCAACTATATCATCCTCCAAACCTTTATATATATATATATATATATATATATATATATATATATATATATATATATATATATATATATATATATATATATATATATATATATATATATATATATATATATATATATATATATATATATATATATATAAAATAAAAATCAATGTACAAGATCGTATAGATTAAACGTACTAACTATTCAATTGATATAATTTTTTTAAAGATATTCGTTAAACTAGTTCATTTGATAACTCTCTAGAGTGCGTGTTCAAAATCACAATTTCTATGTCACTTCCTTTCCATATTGCTCCAATAATATTTTGATAATTATTACTTCTTTTCCATTTGTATCTTTCTTATTCTATTAGAAAAAGAAAATAGTGCATCGCTATTGCTCGCATGGCTTCTGTTGTACCCATTCTCCATAATCTCCTCAACCAAAATTCAAACCTCCCATCTCTCTCTCATTCTCAACCTCTTTTTTCAAGATCCACCAACCACAAATCCAAATTCCTCATTCTTTCAAGAAAACCTAATAACTCGCCAATATTACTTCTCAAATGTTCTCCTTCTTCTTCTTCTTCCATGCTAAGCAAACTAGAAGAAGATGAAGAAGACAGAGAAGAAGACAACGTCGGAGATGAAGAATTATCACCACCACCACCACCACGACTACTACCATCACCACCACCACCACCACCACCACCTCAGTTGAGCGAAGTATGGGAAGAAATCCAAGGTAAGAACAACTGGGAAGGCTTATTAGATCCAATGGATCCGATTCTCCGGAAAGAAATCATTCGTTACGGTGAGTTTGCTCAAGCATGCTACGATTCCTTCGACTTTGATCCACACTCCAAATACTGTGGAACCTGCAAGTATCATCCTTCACATTTCTTCGACAAACTAGACATGGCTGATAGTAGTGGATACACCATAACACGGTATCTATACGCAACTTCAAACATCAACCTTCCTAACTTTTTTCAGAAATCTAAGATCTCTTCTGTGTGGAGTACACATGCTAACTGGATGGGATACATCGCTGTCGCCACCGATGAAGAAGAAATTAAACGGCTAGGACGCCGTGACATAGGTAACCATTACTCTTACAGCGTTTTCTCACTGATTATGATTTTCAAGTCCCATAGTTAAACAGTGGTTTTTAGAAATTTTTAAAGAGAAAAACAAGGGTGAAATTTATTTTCAAGTCCCATACTTATAAGGATTGAAATAAAAAATTCGTTAATTTATATGGAGAAAAAATGTATTTAAGTTAATTTTTTTTCTCTTTATTTTATATATTAGTTTTCTTAAATTGACTTCATAGAGACCGAGTAAATTAATTTTCTTTTATATGAAATGGCTTTTTACTTTTTATAAATTGGAGAATAAATAGATGAAAATTTAAATAAAAAAACTAATAATTATTTCTTATGAAAAGAAAGTTGTTTAAGTTCACAAATAGTTGATCAACCAAAGTTGATCTCAATGGATCTCACGGTTTTTAATTTATTAACTTTAAAAAAAGTAAAGCTGTTTATGAAGCTGATTCTTTTTCTTTTGTATCTTTTTTCTCTGCATAAATTCTTCCTGTCTGACAGTAGTGTACTAAAAGATTCATAAAAAGTGTTTTTTTTAAATTTTTTTAAAATTTTTTTTAAGCTAGAAACTGTATCAAAAATGAATTTTTAGAAACAACTTTTTCAGGAATAACATTTTTAGAAATAAACTTTTATTAAAGTGTTGGAATATAATAAGATTTTGTTGGGGACAATTTTGTTTTCCTTTATTACACCATAAAGGAATTGAAAGCCACCCAATGTTGATAAAGTTCTTTACTGAGCAACAGTTTGCTAGAATACAATTTTGTATTCCCCAGTAACAAACACAAGTACTATTTTATTTCTAACTTTGGATTTCTAAAAAACAAACGCTTTCTAACATATGCAAGAGATTAAAAAAAAATAATTTAAATCCCTTGCTTATACTATAATTTTATTATTTATTAATTATATATATTTTATTAGTTAGTTTAAGTAGGGTATGAACTTCAATTCTATACCTTTATTCTCAACCCAAAAAAATTACTATTGTAATAGAAAATAATTAATATTAATTTAAAAAATTCATGTTTTTTTTTTAAAATTTATGTGTTAACTTAATTGATAATTTTACCAACTATTTTAAATTAATCTACTACTTTGTTCCCTGCTAGTGTTAAGTAGTGTATTTATCATTCACTATCTTTTCATCTTTCACGTGTGTAACTTCTTCATTCACATTTTTTAAAACTAATTTGTTAATATTATACTTTTATTTATAAAAAAAAATTAATTTTAGACACATTAAATAGACAATATATATATATATATATATATATATATATATATATATATATATATATATATATATATATATATATATATATATATATATATATATATATATATATATATATATATATATATATATATATATATATATATATATATATATATATATATATATATATATATATATATATATATATATATATATATATATATATATATATATATATATATATATATATACATTAGTTATAATTCAATGCATTTGAAAAGCAATTTTTTGTTTTTATAAATAGATTATAATAAAAGGAGAGAAACATATAGAAAAATTGAAGAGATGATTCCGTTTCTAATGAAACATATAGAAAAAAGTGAAGAGATGATTCAGTTTCTAATCAAACGAAGTATTTTTTGTGTGTATAGTTATTGCATGGAGGGGCACAGTGACATACATAGAATGGATATACGACCTAAAAGACATTCTACACGAAGCAAACTTCAGAAATGACCCAACAATCAAAGTAGAATTAGGCTTCTATGACTTATACACTAAGAAAGAAGATTCATGCAGTTATTGCACATTCTCAGCTCGAGAACAAGTCCTCTCCGAAGTAAAACGCCTTCTACAATACTACGAAGAAGAAGAACTCAGCATCACAATCACAGGACACAGTCTCGGTGCCGCGTTAGCCACACTCAGCGCCTACGATATCGCCGAACTAAAGCTAAACGTCGTCGAAGATAGTAACAATAACAAAACGAACGTCGTCCCTGTAACCGTTTACTCATTCGGAGGCCCTAGGGTTGGGAACTTGAAGTTCAAAGAAAGGTGTGATGAACTAGGTGTTAAGGTTTTGAGAATAGTAAACGTGCATGACAAGGTTCCAACAGTGCCGGGGATAATAACAAACGAGAAATTTCAGTTTCAGAAGTATATAGAAGATACTTTGTCTTTCCCATGGAGTTACGCACATGTTGGAACTGAAATTGCCTTGGATCATAGAGAAAGTCCTTTTTTGAAGGAAAATGGTGATTTGGGTTGTGCACATAATTTAGAGGTACTTTTACATTTAATAGATGGGTATCATGGGAAGAAGAAAAATTTTGATTTGGTTTCGAAAAGAGATATTGCACTAGTGAATAAGAGCTGTGATTTTCTACGGAGTGAGTATGGTGTACCTCCACATTGGAGACAAGATGAGAATAAAGGGATGGTGAGATCCGGTGATGGACGGTGGGTATTGCCTGAACGGCCACAATTGGAAGCTCATCCACCGGACACTGCACATCTTCTTAAGTTAGTGCTTAAATATCACATTCTCGTTAATGGTAAGTTTCAATCAGGAACCACGTGATTTTGGTTTTTAGTAGGGAAAAAGGAAAGGATGGAAAAAAATGTGTAAAATATGATGTGGTGATAATTAATTAATAAGGATATATAAGATGACAAATTAATGTATGTGTGTTCGTTTAAGGTTGTCTGTTTAGATTTAAAATAATTGTGAAGTTTTTATGACAAAAGTTACAAGAATCCAAACGTACCTAAGATGATAAGATAAAACAAAGAAAAATAATAGTTTGCTTAAAATAATTGGTCTCCACAAGTGTTGCAATCCGTCTAGCTGTAGGGGATATATTAGAATTCTTTATTTAAAAAGAAACGTGATGTAGGCATTATTGGACGTATGGATATTGAAAGAAACTAGTAACTGTTCGTGCATTTGCACAGATTCGCGTGTTACTGTTTGTTATTGGTTTGAGGAATATTTAGGTTTATTTTAATAATAATTTACGGCAAAATATAAGAGGAAATATGGGGAAAATGGTAATTAAAATTAGCATTGAAATAAAAATTGAAAAACAAAAATATTATTAATCTTGAAAGACATAAAAATAAATTATATTATTAATTAAAGACTTATTTTATAAATATGACACTTGTTGTTTGTTGAGAATTGTCTCTGTGTGTGTGAATAAATTAGAGGTGAGCTCTTATCTACTATTCACAAAATTCGTCTCATTTGTATGTCAATTTTGTTCTATATGCATTTTTAACATATAATAGAGTAAGTGTCATTTTTTTTTCTGTTATTTTCACATTATAGAAGAAGTGATAATCATAATCTCTTAATATAATTGCAAAGTCGACTTGTAATATTTTTTTTTTTATTGTAAGACATTTATAAATTAGTTAAATAGTAATACATAATGTGATAAAACATTTAATTCTATACAGTAAAAAAAATTAAAGTTGTCAGAACTCAATTAATTTCGATAATAAAATATTAATCAGTGTTAGGGTAAATATCAAACGAATAAATGTCATGGTGAAAAATATATATACTATGAAATTGTGGTAATTTAGTCTGAGAAAACACTCGAATAATATTTTTTATTAAAAAATTGTTGGCACCATAATATTCTATTTGAAGAACAACTTGAACCGGTAAATTGTAATATTCCACACTATCATCCTAACTATTTATTATAAGTGGATGATCCTTACTTCTTTTATATATTATGTCAAGATGTAATTCTTGGTTGTTTAATATTGTCCATCATTTTTGAGTTCTCTATGATACAAATTTACAAACACGAGATTGATTTCAACATATGACCGACAAGAAAAGAAGAAGTTAAAATGTGAAAATGTTGACATATTAAAATTTGAAAAATGACAACAACAAAAAATATAGTGAATTATCTTTTAAAGCACTTACTTAGGAAGAAATTTTGACAATTGAAAAAGTGTTTGTAAGGGTTGAATGAAGAAGTCCCATTGATTCGTGAGTAATAAGAAAAGTCGAAGATGTTTGGTTTAAGATATTTTTTTATTTGAACAAATATTTCGTATGTTTAAAAAGTTGTCTTTAAACAGTGTAAATTTATATAAGTGTTTGAAAAACAAAATTAAATAAAGGAATTTGGCATACAGCTACACTCACGTGTGTACATTATATTAATAAGTGATAGGTGTTAAAAGGAGAAGCAAATGATACAATGACATGATAAGGATTCAGTAGAGTCAGCAATGATGAAATTGATTTTACATAGTGATTATTTTTGAAGATGGTACAATCACGTGAACGTAGCAACATAAATCTACCATATTACAAGGATGTAATAATATAAATCTAACACATCGGTTCCACCGAGTATGGCAATTTGTTCGTACGATATTTCTGACGAACAACTTCTAACTTTTTATTGAAGTTTACGTGTAGGATCGGCTACAAGAATCCTAAACTATGTGTTAAATAAAAGTTGAATGTTTGAATGCTAAAGGTTTGGAAAAGGTAGATGAAACGATATGATTGCAAGATTAAACTAAATCAATGAGAGAAAAGTACAGAGAAATTGTAAAAGAGATACTAATAAAAGAAATACAAGATTTGTAAAATAAATTGCTTAAGTGTAAAAGTGGACGCATGCATACATTTGCAGAATTTTGACTCGTTTCACTCTTGCTGGTACTTTGAGTATATTCTCTTAATGCTACAAAATGCAACCTCTAGAATTGAAATTGACACTTCCTTAAATAGGTTTAGAAAGTGACGGTTACTCTTCTGTCCATTGTCCCTGGTATGCCACATGTCTACCTATGTACGTCCACTATCTTTGTAACTTCACACGTTTTCGTCTACTGCAAGCTTGCTTGTTCGCCTTTAACCTTCCTTCGACTTTGACTGGGATGACCTTCTGTCCAGACTGCCTCAATGTTCTTCCGACGAGATAGGCTGTCGAGGGTTCTTTGACCTGACTTTGCAAGATGTCCCGTCGAACCTACTTTTGCTCCCTTGGTCAAAATTTGACAGCTAACAAATTGCTCCCTAAAAGGCCAGCTTCGACTTAGATTTTTCTTTGACTGAGAAACTGACATTTTAAATTTTGCCAAATTTCGCCTTTATGTCACGTCTGCTGACATCATGCGTCATGATGACAACTTTTCGGCGCTGCGATTTCCAAGAAAACCTTCATCATGATCCTGGCTATTCCCTAGGTCATGGGTTTTCAACTTCCCCCATTAAACCTCCCACTACAATGGAAACAGAATAGTCATAAAACTGTTGTCGACTGCCACTTGTCAAATGTGGTTGTTTGATTCTTGGTGTCTATAAATACCATTTATACCATTTTCTTCTTCTTCTTCTTTGCTTGCGCTTTCCTGAAACCTTAGCATTATGTAACTTCAGCATTCTCACTGTGTTTTCAAAAAATTTCACCCTCTTCATCTCTTATTTCCTAACATTGCAATGGCTTTCGTTACTCTAGTCACTGGTAACAATCCTCTAGCTTTTACTCTTAATAATGAAAAGAATTTGCCAATCGTTCCTCAACCATCATCAACTGACAAAGTTGTGGTAGAAAACTGGCAACACCAAATGTTGATACCCTTCATGGTGGATAAAAACCTTTTGGATTTCCATGGGTCATACCCAAGTGCCAAAACACACCCCAAGCAAGTGCAAGAGTGTTTCCCTTGTTTCACTTCTGCTATCCCGTTTACCGAGAAAAATAATTCCATCGACCTGAAGTTTATGGATCTCATGCTCGAGTTTTCAGGTCAATGCCAACTCCTAGCAACAAAGAGTATCTGCTTGGCTCGGCAGGGTCCAGAACAAACACAAAGAACAATGGGAGAAAGCTGGCATTTTTGACGCCATTCAGATTTCCAAACAAGCTCACAAGGTTAATCCCTGCCAGCTTCATGCGTCGATCTACTTCTGGTAGGTTCGACCAATTCCTTCCACCTTCCATGTGGCATGATGACGCTCATTCTCTTCGACGTGGCAGCCATCACTGGTCTGTCTCCTTTGGGCGAGACTTTCGACCTTACCCTCTCTATTGAGAATTCATTCTCTTTTAATCGTGTTGCCCTCAAATATTACATCGAAGACCATCATGTCAAGGACTCGGAGGAGGTCCTCGACGAGGAGCACATTGCCTTCCTAACCCTCTGGATTTCGTATTACGTGTTTTGCCCTGGGTCTTTGCAAATAGCCAAAAGTTACATCAGTTTGGCGATTCAAATCCATGAAGGCCGACAAGTTTCCTTGGCGAAACTTATGTTGGCCTCTCTCTACCACTCTCTGGGACTTGCTTCGCTGAAGTTAAAGTTATTACATTCCACCCCAAAGCGTTAAATCTGTCGGGTCCTATTTGGTTGCTGCAGCATTGGCTAAATGCCACATTCGAGCATCAACTAGGTGCTCCTGTGACGGAGTGTATCATACGTTTGGCACAGGGTCGACCCATTGAAGGTCTCAGGCTTGCGTTGACCACTCACCAAGAAACTCCCAACAAATTTATCTTCATGAAGTATATTAAGATGTTTATCGATAATACTACTTTTGTTTTTGACCTGGCTCCCTTTGCGGATCGATGCTTTAGTCCGACGTGGTTTCGAGATCCTTTCCCTGGGGTCTCCCAAAAGTCTGCAGCTTTGTCGAATGTTGTGTGGAAGGCATTTCTGACTCCCGCCATGTTATCTTTCAGGATTGAGACTGGATCTAAGGGTTACGGTTTTATGAACTATCAAGCCAATTTTGGTGGCTCGACAATTTAGCTTAAGCTAAATGCTGTCAAAGTCTTTAGTATCCTGCTCGACGGATATCGTGTGGGCTAGTCATGCTCTGAACACCGACAACCACTTAGTTTGTCTTAAATTTCACAAGGCTCAATACCTTGAGCTTCCTACATTTAAGTTTCATAACTCTTTCTTCACCACCAAAGAGTTTGACACGTGGTGGCCACGCTACCATTGCCAGTACTTCGACAGTTCTATCTTTCTACAAAAGTTGCATGATGCTTTTGTCGTTCTGGGCGGCAAACTCCCACCTACCAAGCCAGTCAAAAAGGCTCCTGCCGAAATAGTCCAAATCTTTGATGTTGAGGCTACTCCGCAGAAGAAGGTAACTTCTTTTCCCTTAACTCTTTTTGTTTGAGAATCCATCCATGTTAACCATTTCGTATACTTGTTCTCTAGGGTCGAAAGCATGCTTTAACCACCGTAGTCGTTCCACCAAAACCCCCAAAGATGACGAAAGCGGCTTCCACTTTAAAACCACAGGTATACCAAGTGTTTTGCTGTCTCACGGGCTATTGCATTGATAAAATTCTAATGTTCGTTACTACTTAGGTTTTAGAAGAGGAGCCGTCTTAAGACGAAGCTTCTGAGAGTAGTACTAACTCTCAAGTCTTTTCTCATGTCAAGATTTCGAAGCCTGCTGCCCCGTGAAAGAAAAAACCAACTATCCTTGTCATGAAGACGGCCTCGAAAGCCGTTTCTTCGAGTGTCCAAACCTCTAGGCCTCTTATTTCGACTTGCCCACACGAGGGCTTGACTCCTCCTCCT